AAACACCCTCCAGTCTCGGGTGACGCGTCGCGCAACGGACTCGGGATGAGCTGGGGCCAGAGAGAGAGGGGGGCCGCGGGAAAAAAACGTAGCCGTCGGGGAATTATTCTACTTTCTGGTGGTTATTGTTCAAGACGGGGTGCCCGTTGGCGAGAGGGCCGTTTTTGGTTCCCGCGCTGGGCCCGGCGTCCGCAGCAACCGCCTTTTCTTCTTCCTCTACGGAGTAATCTGTTTCGTCCCGGTCGCTTCGCTCGTCCTCCACTGTCTGCGGGGAGAAGCGAAGAGAACGACAAGAGTCTTTGATGCCATTTTAAAAACCGGTGTTGGGAATGGAGGACCAGCCTACACCCCCCTCAAGAAATAGCACATGTCTGCCTCCCGTTTCAGCCTCTCATGAGGCTTTTCATAACGTTGGATAGTCACCAAAGATGCTTTCTGATTTGGGGCCACCGTAGAGGGCACCCCGCTCTCCTCAAAAGCTGAGGTGGCCCCAGGCATTTTCTGCTGGTTTTTTAAATTTTAAATAGAGTTCAAAGCTCTTATAAAACCAGGGGAACCCAAGGTGATCAATTTAAGCTTGCCAACAAGCTTAACAACGAGCTCTTAAGACATTTGCCAGTTCCTTTTTTTGCACCAAAGTCCTGTCCTTCCATGTGGTGGTTTTTTTGGGGGGTGGGGTGGGGAATCCCTTTCCCAATTTTGCCCAAAGTTTCCCCTCTTTTCTCCTCCAATCTTTCCAGAACCTTCCTTCTTACCTTTCCAGTTATGAATTTCTGAGCCATGCGAATGATAAGGTAGGCCCAAAATACGTGGAGGCATTGGAGGATCACCATCATGCTGTTGAAGAAGTAATAGCCGAAAAAGGGAGGATACACCTTTAAAGGGATGATCATGGTGCAGTGCAGAATCCTTGGGGGAGGAACCAGAGAAAGGATGAATTATTTTAAATGTTCATATTTTAAAGCGTCTTCCCTTTCTTTAATCTCTGCAAAGAGTTTTAACGAGGAAAACTCTCCCAACTTCTGCAAAGGCAACCTTTGATAAAGGCCACCCCAGCTTCAGAGGGAGAATTAAAAAAAAATTAAAAGTAGGATGAGGTTCACATGTAACTCAATGCCCAAACTGGGTTGGTTTGTTTGTGGCTTAAGGTAGTTTGTAATCAGTACAGCCCGTGGCGTATGGCTTAGCTTTACCTCTGTAATTTTTAATAAGACTTTAATTAAAATTTAAAAAAAAAAAAAAGCGGCACCATACTATTTACTAACCTAACCTAACAGATGAAATATTTCCAACCGGGATAAAACACATTTATAGAGAAACTGCATTCCAAAATGGATGGTATATTTTGCCAAGAATAAAAGACCCTATATTCCATTTTCTATCTATCATTTTAACGTCAACGGCTTATCTGTGAATTCGTAAAGTTTTCCTTTATTTTTTAATCGGTGCCATTTCGTCCATCTCCACCCCCCCCCCCCCCCCCCCCCCCCGAAGAATCCCATGAAAACCTCACCAGAAAGGAAGGATGATCAAGCGGGTGATGATGAAGATGACCGCAAACAAGATGAAGATACTGTTGCAGGTGTTTTTCCAGCCGGCGTAGTTGAACATCTTGGCTGACTGCAAAGCACGAAAAGAAAGGGAATATGGACACGTGGCCGCCTTTACTTTCTTTTAGGCTTTACTTCCTTTACTTACTTTCTTGTAAACAAAGAGATATAAGGTGGTTCCATCCAAAATGGGAAGGAGAGAAGGAAGGGAGGGAGGGAGGGAGGAAGGAAATGGACAGAAGGAGTGAGGAAGGGAAGAAGATAAAGGGAGGGAAGGAAAGAAGGAAGGAGTGAGGGAAGAAGATGAAAGGGAAGGAGGAAAGGAAGGAAGAAAGATAAGGAAGGAAAGAAGGAAGGAAGGAGGGAAGAAGA